GAAAAGAGACAGAGAGGCAGACCTCTCAGGGACATAGCCTGGAAAGAAAATAAGGAAAAGTGGAACAGCAGAGATACACAAAGGTGGCAACACCTGACTCCGGGGTAACAGATTGATGTGTCCAAGCCCTCAATCCATCACTCACTGTCGCTAGCAGACAACAGAAAATCGTTCATAGCAACTTGTGTTCAGGTCAGCACTTCTGCATGCTTCTGTGACACAATTCATCACTGTGTGGCTCGACAGGACCATAGAAGTTATGGGTGAGGAGCACATTGTCTCAGGATGGGAGTGAATCTGTGGGAAAATACAAGCTCCATCCTAGTGATGTGTTCATAAAAGAGGAGTAGCAGAGAGAGAGTCTAGGTTCTTTCTGATTGAGCTGCTTTGAGTGCTCATCAATGTCAAGTCCTTCTTGAGACAAGGATAGGGCTTTGATAGCAGGATTTCTGACATGAAATATGTAGGAAATCTTTAGAGAGATAAAGCTATATGGATTGTGGTAAATGGCATGCTAGGAGTATTGTGATAGATCGGTCACATATGCAGAAATGCTTGATTTAATATAGCATTTCGTGTCTATTTACAGTGACAAAGACCTGACCTCTCAGATGGATTCAAGTAGGAGTCCTCTATTGGGTTACAAAGTGCCACAGATCCATGCCACATGTGTCCAAAATAAAGACTTACATGGTTGCATGTACTGTATATTTGTTATCTCTCGCTGTGTCATACGTGACACTTTATCTATCCTGTGTCAACAGTCCAAAGATAAGACTTCTGTTATCTCCTTTCTTGTTGTGTGTGGGCTGTTCAAATACCTTATCAGATTATAGGATACATCCTGTCCATTAGAGACTACAGGAAGCAACCGTTTTCCTCCACCCCATCCAAAGTCAGTTCTCCATCATCACGTTCTGGTCAAATGTTGTGTGATAGAGATGGCTACAACTTAACAGCTTTTGAACTTTTAGTTGTGCTGTGTGTAACTTTGGGGCTAAACGCCAAAAAAGGCACAATGCCACATAGGACCTACCCCAGTTCTGTCTATCGTTGGCTTTCATGTATTTTTATGAGCACATTGCTTTATGCAAACACAAAGTTAAAACACAAAAGCCCAATCATGCAGTGGTGCATTTGGTAATCATTCCCCTCTGTGCCCTGTAATGAATTTGACAAATGTCCTGTCAAGCTGTGCCCTCACAAATATTTACAAATCCATCTTAATCTATTTGGATGTTATTGTTATTGTCCTTTGTATTATTCTATCAGACTATGATTTATTGTGTTTATGACATAAATGTCATCTTAAGTTATGGATCAGAAACAATTTCTGAGAATGCCAAGAGTGTGCATGGCTGTCATCAAGGCAAAGGGTGGCTACTTTGAAGAATCTCAAATATAAAATATAGTTTGATTTGTTTAGCACTTTTTTGGTTACTACATTATTCCATATGTGTTATTTCATAGTTTTGATGTCTTCACTATTATTCTACAATGTAGAAAATAGTAAAAATAAAGAAAAATCCTTGAATTAGTAGGTGTGTCCAAACTTTTGATTAGTACTGTATGTGCATTTTCATTCACCTTGCTTCTGTGTTTGTTTGATTAGGCCTATTTCAGCAATGGCAGTTATTGCTCTTGTGCAAGCATTTGGTTTAATAGTTTACACAGTCAGCTAAATATTATGATTTTTGTTTACCATAAGACCTACAAGTCATGAATTAATCACTTTAGAAATGTTAATCGGCAGGACATTCATTGTTTCCCACATGTCCGACATGCACTTCCTGATCCTATAAGATTGGGTGCCTATTCATATCCAGTAACACACTTGCAGAACGTAAGGTTGCCCTTACAAAAAATATTGCAGTTTTGAAACTGCAGTAAAGGTTCAGTAACTGCACACGACTGTGGTATTTTGGACTCAACAATTGCAGAATAACTGCAGCGTACTTCACTCTAACTGCAGTTACACTGCAAAATTACTGCAGTAAAAAAAAAAAATATTTTGGACGCAGTAATTGCAGCATACTGCATACTTTTCGTAAGGGTTTAGAAAACGGGAAAATCTGTCCTGGGTGGCAGGGTGAACAAATTTGGCTCAGGAGTTTAATTTCTCCCTTTGATAGTTTGAGAATGTAGGCCTACTGTACAAGAGCTCTGCATTATTTTGAATTGATTAATTGTATGGACATTTTGTTCTATGCTGATTTTATTCTTGCTTTTCCTATTTTTATGGATCAATCTGTAGGCTATATAACCAAGTCGACTGCCTACTATCACCTGACTTCACCCTAAAGACTTTTGTCCAGCGCCTTCCTGTAAACTAAATTTCCTTTCGTAGGTTAGCCGGAGGCAAAGTCATTGATATTCATGAGTTACGTCGGGTGATTGGATGAGCTTTCTTGGGTGTGTGAGGTCACACAGATGGGCTTTTACCTTTCCACAAACGGTCTGTTGATTAATATAAGCAAGTTGACCCAAATGAATCAAGGAATAGGAAATCCACGATTTGTTGCCAAGTAATGGCTACTGGCTTGCCAGTGAGCTAGTTAGCTACATTTCAGTAATTTAGCTAGCCTCCTAAATGCAGTGGTCACTGGATTAACTAGCCATGAGTTGAACATATTTTGGTGAAAACAAACTAGTAGCCAGTTGTTGTTGCCCATGGTGGAATCATATCTAACCAGCTGGCTTCTGAAGCCTATGTGACATGTCTAGTATGTGCCCATGAGCTCCCGAGTCTAGACACAGTCTAGCTAACATTAGCTAGCTAGTGTTGCTAGCTGAGCTGTTTTATAAAGAAAACGGCTGAGGTGACTCAAACCCTGTAGTTAGCTAACAAGCCATCCTTGGCAACAATCTTATTGTGGTCCGGGAATATTAGATATTTATTTTAATTTTAAGATAACTGTCATTGAAGTTGGTGGTTACTACTGGTTTTAGGGTTGTCACTAGTTACCACAGCCACAAAGTGAAGTTTTAGATCCAAGAGGAGATAAATTGTCCGCCATTGTTTTGTGTTTTGTTAAATGCTCGGAGTGATCTCATGCCCCCAATAAGGCTCAACCAACGGATAATAAAGACATTGCCTCCGGGTATCCTATTAAAGGAAATGTTGCTTCCTGTAACACCCCTTGGCCCTGAGACACATTAATTTATCACTAGCCTACACTAACATTCGGTTTAGAAATACTGTATTTGCAACCTAACTTCCGTTTCCCCTGAAAAACAGAAGTGGGAACTCTGCTCAGGCTCTTCCTACACCTGCTACTTTAGGTTACTTTATCATGGTCACTAGATAGAAAACACATATTCCTCTTTTGAATTGGGCATGCATGTGTGTGTGTGTGTTCCTACGGTAGAGGTGCTTATTCCACCTCCTAGTGGTGTGCAAAAAACAAGAATCCACTTACAATACTGAGCTTGGTTTCTGAATGTTTCAATACAACTGAAGGTTGTATTGAAGATACATATTGCATCCATTTTCTCATGCATTTTGTAGGGGAAATAAATCACATTAAATTGTAGTATGCTACTTTTCTGAAGATCCCATTAATGTCGTTAATACTCTACAATAAGGTGTTGTATTCCAATTGAATGTATATTACCCCGTGGCAATGTGTTTATTATTATAACATTAGCATGGTGTTAATTATAAACTATCCTACTACTGCTATTTTCATTAGTAGTCAAGGTACCCGTAGTATTAGCCTGAAAAAGAATGCTATTTTTACAATTACCATTGAGAAGAATGCAAAACTTATCTTAACAAGTATGAAATGTTGTCGATGCTAGTGACGTAGGGCTGAATGCCTTGAATGTGGGAGGACGTAGAGCAGACTTTCTAAGGCATAGATAGCCCTCTCATTAGGTGCCGATGCGCAAGCAGGGGATGCTTCAGCCCGTTATTCCTCAGTATCCAGTCTCTCTCAGAGTTGGTTCTCTCAGTGTTTCCATCGAGAAAGTGAAGGAAAACTCCAAGTGATATGCTGCATACATTTTATTTTTGTCAAAAACGAAATTATATTTAATGAAGAATGGAATTTCGTGGGATCAAGGCGACCAGAGACAGTACAATCTCTGTCGCTGAGTGAGTGTCTATCTCGCTGTTTCTGATTGTGCTGCTACGGAAATGCTTGAAACTGCTGCATGAATGGTCGTGCGTAACACCGGGGATTGTGGTAGGCTACATTGCGAAGCTTGCCCCTGACTAACAGACAATGTGCCCACTAAAGCCTGGCTCAGAACGTGTCCGATGACTGATTCCTGGTTTAATTTGTATTTTGGGTTGTAACAAAGGTCAATGGAGAGACCTGCGCGTCCGTGCGCCCTGGTGCCATTTTAACACTAATGCTGTGTTAATTTGGGTTGCGTGTCCCTACTGAAATTCCCAACTCCAAGGCTCATACAACGTTGATGCTGGATAATTCAGCAAGATTGTTGTAAAAATGCTGAACAGCGTTTTGTTGCTCAGCGTTTTAACTGTGACCAGTTTCGCATCGAAGACAGAGAGCCGCAAACCATCGAAAGAAATTTGTAAGAACCGCTGCTCCTGTGAGGAAAAGGAGAATATATTGAGCATCAATTGTGAAAACAAAGGATTTACAACGGTGAGTCTATTTCAGCCTCCACCTAACAAAATCTGCCAACTCTTTCTCAATGGAAACTTTCTTTCGAGACTGAATCCGAACGAGTTTATCACTTATGGTAATGTCACATCCCTTCATCTGGGAAACAACGGGTTACAGGAGATAAAGACTGGAGCTTTTACTGGACTGAGATTTTTAAAACGACTTCATCTCAACAACAATAACTTGGAGATAATCAAGGAAGATACCTTTGCTGGTTTAGAGGGTTTGGAGTATTTACAGGCAGATTATAATTATATCAGTGCCATTGAAGCAGGTGCATTCGGCAAATTGAATAAACTCAAAGTCCTGATTCTCAATGACAACCTCCTGCTCTCTCTTCCCAACAATGTATTTCGTTTCGTTATGTTAACGCATTTGGATCTAAGGGGGAACCGGCTTAAGATGCTGCCTTTTGCTGGTGTGCTGGAGCACGTAGGCGGCATTATGGAGATCCAACTGGAGGAGAACCCGTGGAATTGCACCTGTGATCTGATCCCCCTAAAAGCCTGGCTGGACACCATATCAGTCTTTGTAGGAGACATCGTGTGCGAGACCCCCTTTAGACTGCATGGAAAGGACATTACTCAATTGATTAAGCAAGATCTATGCCCCCGACGTAATGCTGGTGATTCTAATCACCGCGCAATGCAGCCCCCCTCTGATTCCCAATACAACGGCCCCTCTCCCACCCTACACCCGGGTGTCACTCCAACAAAAGCCCCACGGGCCTCCCGTCCCCCTAAAATGAGAAATCGCCCCACACAACGTGTAACGTCTGGTAAGGACAAACAAGTGCTGGGGCCTATAATGGTTTATCAGACTAGGTCCCCTGTTCCCATAACCTGCCCTAGCATATGCGTCTGTACCTCCCAGAACCCAGACAGTGGATTAAATATCAACTGCCAGGAGAGGAAATTGCATAATATAACAGAGCTAATCCCTAAACCCTCCTATCCAAAGAAATTGCATTTAACAGGCAATTACTTACAGACCATATATAGAACAGACCTAACCGAATACAGCTCACTAGAGCTCCTCCACCTAGGAAATAATAGGATAGCTGTTATTCAGGACGGGGCCTTTGACACCCTGGCTAATCTACGGAGACTTTACCTCAATGGCAATTACATTGAAAGTCTATCCCAATCATTATTCGTAGGTCTGCAGAGCCTTCAATACTTATACCTGGAATACAATGTCATCAAGGACATTTTACCACAGACGTTTAACTCATTACAGAATCTGCAGCTGCTGTTCCTAAACAACAATCTACTAAGATCCCTTCCCGACAATGTTTTTTGGGGGACTATGCTAACAAGGCTGAACCTGAGGAACAATCACTTCTCCCACCTGCCGGTGCGCGGTGTGCTCGACCAGCTCTCCGCATTCATTCAGATCGATCTGCAGGAGAACCCATGGGATTGCACATGCGACATCGTTGCCCTTAAAAACTGGATGGAGCTGTCCAGCACCAGCGTAGTGGTAAATGAAATCACATGTGATTCGCCCTCCAAACACGCAGGGCGGCTGCTCAGATCCCTGCGTAATGACGCAATTTGTCCCGAGCCTAATGAGGTCACAGTAGGCCTAACCAAGGCCCCCACCGTCAGTCCCAACACCGACTCCACTCCCCCCTCTGCCATCACCTCAACAGAAGAGCAGGTGCCCGAGATGCACGCGGAGGTGCCGCTGTCTGTTCTCATACTGGGACTGCTCGTGGTTTTCATTCTGTCGGTCTGCTTTGGGGCTGGTCTTTTCGTATTCGTCCTCAAACGACGCAAAGGAATTGATAGCGTCCCCACCAGTGCCAATAATTTAGATATAAACTCTTTCCAGGTACAGTATGCTTCATATAGCTCAGAGCCCACTGCAGATAAAACAGAGACACATGTTTATAATTACGTCCCTCCCCCGATTGGCCAGATGTGTCAGAACCCCATCTACATGCAGAAAGATAGCGAGCAGGTGGCGTACTATAGGAATCTAAAAGAGCTAACTTTCAGCACCATGGACCCTAAAAAGTCGGAGTTGCCCCCAAGCCCATATACCATAAGCACAGTGGAGTTCATTGAGAAACAATCTTGTGGCAATCGACAGCCGGAGCTGCTTTATCAAAACATTGCAGAGAGGGTTAAGGAGCTTCCAACTGCTGGCGCTCTGAATTACAGTTTCTGCACTTTACCGAAAAGACAATTCATTCCTCCATATGAAACTACTAGACGACACAACCAAGACAGGTTGAATAAAACTGTTCTCTATGGGACTCCACGAAAGTATTATGCTGAGCAATCAAAAAATGAACACCCTTTGCTGCCTGGGAAGCTAAAAACAGAACCAGACTACCTCGAAGTTCTGGAAAAACAAACTGCAATGAGTCAGTTGTAAGATATGGCCCTACTTACTATCATCACACATATTACATCGGTATGTATCTAAGTACTCCACAAATTAACGAGTCCAACTCAAACAAAGCAACCTAAGCATTTTTATCTTCTTTATTTTCCAGCTGTATTGAGTAAACGTAGGCCTATATGCAGTTATATTATTTTACTGGAGGTTGAAATTATTTATTCTACTTGAACTATAAAGACTGTAGCAGGTACCGCAAGAACTATGTATAGTACTGCTTTGTGCATTTTATATTCTATATTTTATTTTCTCTGTGGAAACAAATATCATTTTTAGAAGAATAATTGAGAAATGACATTCCTGTACATAATAATGAGTGTGAAACACATGTACTGGTTCCGTCCATGGTGATCCATTTATTCCAGAAGTGCCTTTGCACTCCGAGTATTTTATCTTTGCTTTCTGCAAATGGAAATTTTATAAGTGCTGTATTTTAAGAATCTTTATGTAAAATATAATTATTTGTCCATTACATTAAACATAATTGAAGAGGGTATGAAATGTATGGTAAATAATGTTTTCAATATATAAGTGTCTTTCAATTTAGCGAATTACATAACATTGTATGCTATAGATGAGCAATACAAGTGCCATGAGAGCAATTAAATTTTCACTGAAGCACTTTGTCAAGTCTGAACTTGAGGTGAGCATTATTAAGATTATAAATGTCTGGCTTTGTGTGTGTGTGTGTGTGTGTGTGTGTGTGTGTGTGTCCCATGTGATGAGGGGGTGGGTGCTTTGGGGGCGGTAACATCTCTCTTTGATGGAATCTATAGACCACCGTGTATTGACAAGGAATTTGCTGAGTACTTTTGGCTGAATGACGAATTTATCGACCAACGTTGCTCGGGCCCTCACAGGAATACCATTAATTTCACACTTATTATTTTTCACCCAAAAAGGTAGAGAGAAGCAGTGTCCTCTAAAAGTGTAGATCATTTACCTCTATATTCTGATTTACGGGTGATCAAAACTGTCTCGAACAGGAACAACTACTGCTCTCCAGTAGCCGACTTGAAAAGCACCAATTATGATTAGTTCCCAAAGCTCCTCATACCCAGAATTACTTGTTTCTAGTGGTTTTAACGAGACGAGTTTATATTCTGCCCTTCAGGTGACATTTGCTTTGAAGTCTGCTGTAGAGCAATACCTTCTTCAAGCCCAGATTATTCTGCTGTTTTCACTCTCGCTTTGTTTCCCCCGCTGCTTCACGTAGCTACCATTGTGTCGCTGTCCATGGTACTGAATATGTTCAGTTTGCGCATTTTCTATGGTTTCTACAGTGTGGGGACTTCTCAATTGATTTGTTCGATTTCACATTGACTTTGTAAATAGTGCACTTTTTTATTTTTTATCACAGGTTGTTAATCCCATTGGCCAAATTAATTAGTGAAATACGTGTATACTGAGAACAAAATCAAATTGGGAATTTAAATTAGCAATGACTGGCCTTCTTATGATTTGATTGAATCATGGATTTTATGCTTACATTTTTTAAATACACTAACAATGAAAAAGTTGATTATGTGAGTGTTATCCTATAATATTGATATTCTGCTTGTGGGTAAGTGAGCTTGTGCTTGTGGGTAACTACCAGAGGCCATTGAGTTGTTGTGAGTGAGACTGAGTGAGAGTTCTGTTAATTCCTTCTGAAACAGAGTGTTATTTTTTTTTCCTGGGCACAATGGGCCTCTTTGTTGCTGTTTACTGGTGCTGTGGAGAATGAGAGGTTGGACATGTCTTGCACACCAATGAGGCAGCTAGCTCCCACAGTCCCCACCACACTCCTCCTCTCCTCATATCACACATGGGACTGGGAGGAGGAGAGATGGGGATGGCATGCAATGGCTTTACAACATAAGCTATCAATCAATCCAGTCAGTTCACACCGGAAAATAGGATCAAATATTATACATTGCTTCACAATTTGAGGTTGAGTGACAGTTATGTTGTTTGGGACATTTGGGTAGTTTTGTCACAAAGGATTTCCTTCAATCCATGGATTCTATAAAGGAAGCAGTTGTTAGCTATCTTTATTGATCATCAGATTGTAATTGATTCACTCTCCCTCTTTCATTTAATTACAACAATATGGTTCCTGTTGTAGACAGGAAGGGGAAATAAACCTTGACCTTGCTATGCTAAGGGACTAGCGGTGAACTAGAGTGAATCAATGGAGACTGCTTTCAGATGCTTGCTGCTAGGGGCCTCTCCTAAGGCTATCCCAGACCTCTTCAGAAATACTCTTGGGCAAGTTCATGTTTATTCAAAGGTTGGACCGGCTTTTTTTATCTCTTTGATTTGTGATGAGGCCCAACGAGAGTGGCCTATGCTTGGTGTGTATGATACTGAATCTCTTTGACATGGTGGAGACCACAAGACCTGTGGGAAGCATGGAAGGTTGATATTCCTCCTTCCCAGTGTCCCCAGGATTGGCCGGAGTCACAACCAATTCACTCTCAAAGTAAGGAAGTGTTGCCTGATTGTGATATTTTGAAACGAATAGCAATGTCAGGGTCTGTGACATATTAATATTTCATATTTTGGATCATTGTAGATGCATTGTTTCACATGAAATCAAAGTAATCAAGTAAACAACTCAAAGTACAGTTAATTGAAATCATCAGCCATATGCTGAAATATGAACCATGTTCACAATATATTCCGCTTCATTTCAGTCATTTCAAGTGTTCAGTAGTCTATGTTTCCTGCTGACTGGGTTGTGCAAATTGTGGGGATATATTATGTGTTCTAGTCTTTGTTTCAGAGATGAGATGAGGTCTGTCTGTCTGTCTGTCTGTCTGTGTGTGTGTGTGTGTGAGTGAGTGAGTGAGTGAGTGAGTGAGTGAGTGAGTGAGTGAGTGAGTGAGTGAGTGAGTGAGTGAGTGAGTGAGATAGTGAGTGAGTGAGGGAGTGAGTGAGTGAGTGAGTGAGTGAGTGAGTGAGTGAGTGAGTGAGAGAGAGAGTCTTCTTTCCTCCCACAGTCCTTTGACGAATATTGCACCAGTTTCATGGCTGCTTAATCATTTAGACATTAATGATGGGCCATGTTAGATGTTGACAGAATGCCTTGAACAGCTGTCACAGGATAAACAACCTTGTAGTCTCTGCACAATGTACAGTCTGCTGCCTAACAGAACAAATGTGTGCCCTGTTTGTGATCTATGAACACCGACGTGGCAATGTTTAAAACACACCACACCGCATGAACAGTGAAGGCTGTTGGACTCACAGCCATGACTAAGATCAATGGGATGCTGTCCCCCATCTTTCCGTATGGTTGAGGGATAATCCTAATGCACACAACAGCAGGCCCACGACTGTGTGGTAAAGGAATGTTGACAGACTGCAGACTTCTCCAAAGGTTAACTCAAGCCACATCTGACCTTGTGTCCACTTCCTCCGGAGCACAGCACGTTGATCTTATTTGAAAGAAAGAATAAGAGCAATTGAAGTGAAACTCCATCCAATTGCTGTGAGAACAGGCAGGTCACCCAAGTGAATATGATAAATGAGAAGGGCCAAATCTACACTAGCTAGCATTCACTTCTGTGTTGTTCCATCATATGAGGTTACACGTAGTACAGAGTTCAGAGTAACTGTGGAGGGGTAATGAGGACGTCTGAATTGTGCTATGGTCAATTTATTAGTGTGCTATTTCAGTGGAGATTGCTCCCTGCATGTGTGAGTGAGAAACAACAAAATAACCACCCTTCCATCGCTCAGCCCGATTTTATGCTGAGTTTTCTAAGTTCTCGGTTTAAAACACTTTTCCACATGAGACAATATTAATAAGCCTTTCCTGTTTAATGCCTGCCATAAAATGTTATCACTGCAGTCATTATTTGGCACTTGAAGTGTGAAGCGGCTATACTGTAAGCCAATGTCCCAGGGAAGACTTTATTGGTTTGTGTAACAAGGCATGGCAAGTGGCTCCTCTAGAATCAAATCAGCCCCTTCTCCCACTGGTTAGCAGTCCTACCATATGACCCTCACACAATGTAGCATTCATGTCTTCCATGGCCCCAGCTATTTTTCCAGGACGTGCATGGAGGCCTTTCTCCCAGCAACATGGAAAAGTCTATTTTTCACCCCCAGGAATGCAATGGAAATCAACGACTTGGTTGTCAGACCAATATAACTTTCTCGGCTCTGTAAATGGAGTATGTTATACAGAATATGCAACAATGAATGGGAAAGGCATCTGATTGGTTAACTTCAATATGCCTCGACCATACCTATATTTTCAACTTATTTTTTCATTAATAGATTTGTATAGTTTCGTATTCACATACAGTACATGACGCAACCTGACTTTTGTTATACAATACTGTATATTGATAGCAATCCATATTTCTGGAAATGTACTAATTAAGTGTTGAATTAATAATATATCCCTGGGTGTTTATAACAGATGTGATAGCAGTGCCTTTGGGAACTCACAGGGAGGTCTGGCAGCTCCTCATCAGTGGCTTAAAATAACAGTTCTAATAATATTGAGTACAATCTCCGACACCCCAAACAAATGTTGACACATTATCCACATTGACTAACAAATGGAAACGTGATGCTGAAGTACTGGAAAAACAAACATTTTAACCCATAGAAAGTGCTATTGCCTGCAGGAAATTCTCGCAATCCCAATTTTTGGAAGTACATAAATCATTTAAACTACAGCTGGTTCTTCAAGGCCATTGCATTTTCACATTGCAACTTAAAACACCTGGTGATCATTCAAGGATTCCTGCACTCAAATAATTCCTCCTGTGCTGAGTATAGAAGCAGAATCAGAAAATGGGATAAGATGGGATTTTTAACAGCAAGAACATTTATATTGACATACAGTAGAAAGAAGGAGAAGCTTGCATCCGTGACAAACTGTGTCAAACAGTCAGTGGAATGCAGCTGACCACTGATGCCCTTGACGATGCATTTACACCACCGGCCACCACATTACACTTCCCATCCCATCAAACCCTTATTCAATGACAACTCAGATGGAGGTCTCCCTACGGCCACCATCAAGGCTAAGGCCATCCGTCTATTTAGTGTGACTCAAATGAAGACAAGACTGTCTGTTTGACTTAACAATAACCCATCTGTTGCCAATGCCCTCCAAATGTTAGATGGCTGGAGGGCAAGATGCACTCTGTTGCTCAAGGGAAGGACAACATACAGTACATCTATGGATTTGAGTTACAGGGTCACAGGCTTTGTAAATGGAGTCTACAGAGTGCACAAAATATTAAGGACACATGCTCTTTCCACGACATAGACTGAATCCAGGTGAAAGCTATGATCCTTTATTGATGTCACTTGTTAAATCCACTTAAAATCAGTGTAGATGAAGGGGAGGAGACAGGTTAAAGAAGGATTTTTAAGCCTTGAGACAATTGAGACTTGGATTGTGTATGTGCTATTCAAATGCTTAATGGGCAAGACAAACTATTTAAGTGCCTTTGAACGGAGTACGGTAGTAGGTGCCAGGCGTACCGGTTTGTGTAAAGAACTGCAATGTGGCTGGGTTTTTCAAGAGCAACAGTTTCCCGTGTGTATCAGGAATGGTCCACCATCCAAAGGACATCCAGCCAACTTGACACAACTGTGGGAATCATTGGAGTCAACATGGGCCAGCATCCCTGTGGAACGCATTTGACACCTTGTAGAGTCCATGTGCCAATGAATTGAGGCTGTTCTGAGGGCAATATTAGGAAGATGTTGATGTTTTGTACACTGTGTCGATTACAGTTCTAATGACCACTATGCAGATACTCTTTCAGTCCAAATTGCATTAGCTTCTCTTTTAACATAGCATGTGTACCATCTAAACCATGTTTAAAGGTCACATCCATATGGATTGTTGGATCTGTGAGTAGTGAATAAGCAAAGTTGTGAATTATGAGGTTAGATCTCCTACTGAATGCCAGTGAAATATTGCCCTACGAGCTCACTGATCAGCGTTCCTTCTACACCCAGTCTGAGAATGATAAGTGATAGCACAGGTCCATCCATCTGCAAGTACAGCAGAATCTAAAACCTTTAAACTTCCCTCTGGGTTGAGGCAATATATCAGGTAAGTGCAGTGTCATTGCTGTCAAAAATGTTATTTTCCTTTGGTTTATGTATATCTCCACACTGTGGTTCGAATAATACTGTGAAATTGTGAAAATGATAATGCTCTTTTAGTGTAAGAGCTGTTTGAAAAGACCACCTGAAATGTCAGCCTGTTTTTGATGGAGTTTTGACCTGCCTTGTCACATCACCAGTTTTCCCCTCCCCAGTCAGACCACGCCCAGAAATTGCTCTTTGCTAAGAAGCTATTTGTTTCTTTTTGACCATTTCAATTGAAAAAAATCACAGTAAGGTACTTAATTGTTACACATAAATGACTTGATATTGAGATAAAAATGGCTGCATTGGACCTTTAAAAGAGCGTAAAAGATTTTAGTCTTGGAGGTGTGTTTCCTGACCAGTTCCGCATTTGGTGGATGTTTGTCCCCCATATTTCACATCCTCAAAATCCCCAGAATGAATCTAAGATAACTGAAGAAATCTGTAATTAATTTTGATGTTTTAATTGCGCAAATTTACATCTAAGGTGTTTGGTGCAGTATTTCTCAAGTGAATAAATGCGCGACGTGTTGTCTTATGTAAACAAAGTCGGAGCTGCTGGGCAGGTCTGTTTCACTTTCTATGCTATTGGATAGAGACCATTCACCACAGCTGTTCACCCTATGTTAGTGGGCAGATGGACATCCTAAAATGAATACCTAACCTTCATTTACCCATGGTGATGCACGGATGCGCCAAACTCAGTTTTAGACAAGAATGACTTTATGACATATTATACTATTTACACTATTTACACAATCAATGTTGACACTAGAATAACTGTTTCTGACTCATATCGATGCCACATAGGTCGTTTGCAAAGGGATTCATTGTTTTTTAAAGGCAGTCACTCTTTAAGCAAAGCCTGAAGGTGGTTTATCATTGAAACCCAATTGGGTATTCCTCAGCCATCTATGTGTGCAGCCTCTGACTGTGCCCTTTACATCAAATAATTATTGCAAAAATGGAGCTACTTGCACAGATTTCTGAATTTGTTCCAACAGTGATGCCACTAGTACATTTTGAGGAGAGAACGCAAGATGCATTCGAATCATTGCATTGGGGGAAACACAGTGGATAGCTTGCTCAGAGTAGTTTCTCTCCTATTCTTTACTGTTTCAGCATGTCAAACTGAACTAAATTACAAGCTTCAATACACAATTTTGTCTTAAGTTGTAAAACCCTCTGGTACGCTGTTAAAGTCATATTCAGCCACTGAACCAACGGGTGAGTCATTGACCAGAAGATTATTAAGCCCCCAAAGAACCACAAGCAAGCTAGCCTTCTCTGTTGGCAAATGTTACAGAATAAACAAGAGGCTGTCATTTCTCGACAGGCTATTGATCAAACAAATGCAATGACGTAAATCAAGTATCTTATTCATACAACAATCACAAATCACAGACAGACAGATCTTGTATATTCAATAGCCATACAAATGGTAAACATTTACATTTTAGTCATTTAGCAGACACTCTTATCCAGAGTGACTTACAGTTACTGCGTTCATCTTTAGACAGCTAAGTGGGATAACCACATATCACAGGCATAGAAAGTACATTTTTCCTCAATTATATCAGTATAGTCAGAGCTGGGGGGAAAAATCGAGGTTAGGAGGAGGATTATTTAAGATACTGTTTGAAGAAGGAGGGTTTCAGATGTTTTCGGAAGATGGGCAAGGACTCTGCTGTCCTAGCTTCAGGGGGAAGCTGGTTCCACCATTGGGGTGCCAGGACAGAGAAGAGCGTGGACTAAGCTGAGCAGGAGCTGCCCTCCCGTAGGGGTGGGAGGGCCAAGAGACCTGAGGTGGCAGAACAGAGTGCTCAGGTTGAGGTGTAGGGTGTGAGAATAGCCTGAAGGTAGGAAGGTGCAGTTCCTCTTGCTGTTCCATAGGTAAGCACCATGGTCTTGTAGTGGATGCGAGCTTCGACTGGAAGCCAGTGGAGTGTGCGGAGGAGCGGGGTGACATGAGCGGGGTGACAAGGTTGAAAACTAGGCGGGCTGCAGCGTTCTGGATAAGTTGCAGGGGGTTGATGGCACAAGCGGGGAGCCCAGCCAACAGTGAGTTGCAATAGTTCAAACAGGAGAGGCCAAGTGCCTGGATTAGGACCTGCGCTGCTTCCTGTGTGAGGTCGTACTCTATGGATGTTGTAGAGCATGAACCTGCAGGACACTGTCGCGTTGTCAACCATGATGGAGATGTCTGAGCGGGTAGGCTTTCCCCGGGAGGAAGAGCAGATCCGTCTTGTCGAGGTTGAGCTTGAGGTGATGGGCCGACATACAAGTTGAGATATCTGCCAGGCATGCAAAGATGCGCGTCACCACCTCACTATTCTGTTCCAGGTCTACAGTCCTACAGTATCAATAATTAGGCTATACTGTAACCATGTTGGAATACACATAACTCGCCTCTCCAATTGACTGGAATAACTAATTGTGCCTTGGAAAATGACAGCACACATCATTAACTCTATAAGTGGGGCAGAGGCAATTACTACTGGATATAAACACACAGAGTTTGGCTACGTGGGGCCCTGTTCTCCAGTGTTCATTAATCTGACATTATCTGGTAATTAGGAACCTTGATTAAAGCTACACGGTGGAGAGGAAACAGCAGAACAAACATTGAAGTAATTGATTCTTGCTTTGGAACTTTTTGTCGACATTTAGTAGTTAGTCGCCATCAGCAGAAAACAGAGAACACAAACAATAGTGCGGAATAGTCTGCAAATAATCCCATTCTGTGTTCATCATGTGTGTGCTGTTAATTCCGGCAGAAGTAAAAAAACAACAACAACGTATTCAACCCTGTTCAAGCCTATGCCGTCCTGTCTTTTGCCTCAAGCCTGTAATCTAGGAAAGGCCATCATGATACCAATATAGCTAGCCCTTTTTCCTTCTGCTCTACACACATGCGGTAAACCCTATGTCCAAATAAGACAGCAAAGTGTCTTTGTGCTGAAAGGTATGGGGAAATAAGGACATTTTGAATTAGGTCAGTGGATGAACTGAACCAGAGAGGAAGAGCCGAAGCAAGAGGGTTTCATCTGTCCATTAAAATAAGACCACGAAGTGAGGAATTTTAATAAGGCGGTCAATGAGTGTGTTGAATTTGTTCAACAAAAAATGGTATTGCTAATTTGCTACATGAGCCTTATTTGATCGAATAGATGTTTCATAATGGTTAGGTTGTTATGAATGCACCGATATAAGTGGACGCATGTGGCATTTTGGCAACAAAAAACAACAACTTTATTTCAGAGTTGTGCCTGTTGTTCACACGCGTACCTGCCCCCTCATTGGTTAGAATGGTCCCACCTGATCTCGCCTCCTCCTTCCATCTTTGAGGACATGTATTTCCATTGTTAGAATGGTCAATCAACTATCTTGTCAATATAATAGATCATCTTTGACTGAACGCTATATTTAACTGACCCGCTCATGCCCCTAGTGGAGGGAGGCTAGTAATATCTCTGACTTTTACAATGTTACACAAAACACACAATTTTAGCTTTCCACTTCCAGGCCTTGCTACAACTGTTTTGAGCTTTGTCACTGTATGCCCTTGTAAACGGCATTGATCAGTATCTTTCCAGTGAATATAGTCGTATTGTGTAATCCTTAAGAAAACTATCCTTAAGGTGCATCTTTAGGAAAACAGGTGCAATTCTTGAAAAAAATTAAAAAAAACATTGTGTCAGTCCACTTTTAGGATTGGGGGGTTGGATATTCAAGAGTGGTCTTGCAACGCAGTTCCTTGGGACTGTCATCAGTAATATGGTGCTCCGATACTGAGAGACCCAGTGCAGGCTCAGCTGATAACAGTGCTTTAAGGTGGGTAGATTAGGGGTTTGAAGACCAGCTGAGCCTTGAGTATGAACAAACTTGTCAACATAGTGTTTTACCTTTGCCCAGTAATTCCAAAGCAAGATTGGCTGTACTTACAAGCTGTTGGGTAGCCGATAAATGTTTGAGGTCTTGATCTATGATGTGACAAAGAGCCATCTGGTCCATTGCTATCTATCCTTCAGGCTGCTGAACATGTTGCAGATTTACAGTGCACGCTCCCCGTGGCACCTCAAATTATAATAATGGATTAAGACAGAGAGAGGACATCTGTTTTAAACATACACTGTTGGGTAGTTTGTTAAGGTCATCCCCCAAATACAGTGCCTTCATAAAGTATTCATACCCCTTGATTTATTGCACATTTTGTTGTGTTACAGCCTGAATTATAAATGGATTAAAAAAATCTCACCCATCTACACACAGCACCCCATAATGACAAAGTCAAAACATGTTTTTAGAAATATCTAATTTGCATAAGTATTCACCCACCTGAGTAAATACGTTAGAATAACCATTGGCAGCAATACAGCTGTGAGTCTTTCTGGCTTTGCACACCTGGATTGTACAACATTTCCACAATATTATTTTTTAAATTCTTCAAGCTCTGTCAAGTTGGTTAGTGATCATTGCTAAAAAGCCGATTTCAAGCCGATTTAAGTCGAAACTGTAACCAGGCCAGTCAGGAATATTAAATGTTCCCTTGGTAAGCAACTCCAGTGTATATTTGGCTTTGTGTTTGATAGATTAATTTCCCTTGGTAAGCAACTCCAGTGTATATTTGGCTTTGTGTTTGATAGATTGATTTGGTATTTTAAGAATAATGACTAAAGGATTTCACCCCAAATACAGTATAAATGTGTAAACTGTGTTACAATTATCAACCCACTAACAGAGGGGGGGGGGGGGGGGGACAAAACATTCCAGGGTAAGGAGAAAGGTGGAAACTGTTTAAGAAAGCCTCCTAAAGGTGGGCGGAGCAAAGTGCCTTTGTGTGTCAAAGGGTATGAAACAGTACGTATGTGTTTTGGGCGCCA